CCTAACATCCCGACATCTTTGGTATAAGGGGTGATGACTCAATCTGGCTGCTTCAAGCTGAAGGGGGGTGTAGTTTTAGGGGAGACCGGGATGGGGTGGCTTGGAGGGAAGTGGGGCATACGGATAGGGGTGCAGGAGTAGCTGATTGACTGTGACGCAAGAAATTTTTTTCATGAGAGAATGCAAAAAATTAAACATACAGGGTGCAACCATAAGTAAAAGACAGATAAGTAGAACGGGTCCTGAGAATGGCATGACCCATTGGGCGATGCCCGAGTTTCACCAAGCAGAGAAGGGCGATTCTGCGGTGTTTTTTTGGTGAAGTTTGTCTCCCAGCTTTCGGAGGACATTGACATTTTCCTCTACCAGCCCTGTTTCATTAATGTAGAAACAGCATTCTTCCTGGAAAAACATGCAGGTTCCACCCTGGCCGGCTGTAAGGAGACTAAGGGCCCTGCGGTTCTGTAAAGTAACCTGAGCTAGAGAGATTATTTGCCACTGCAGGGTTGCCAGGGAGTTTGCGGATGATTCCAGAGCGGCTTGGAGCCTTTCTTCCAGATTTTGGGAAGAAAGGAGGCTGTGTCCTAGTGCTCCCCTGCCCAGCTCTCCAGCCGCCAAGGACGTAGCAAACGTGAGACTGAGCATGAGGGGGAGAAATGCCACACGGCGGACGTGGCGGAGAGTGGGAAAGACTTTGAGTAAGAGTTTTTCTTCAGAATAGAATGTAAGCTGTGGCACAAGTGTTACCGGATAGCAACAAGGGTAAGAATTATTGATAGATTTGAAGAGAGTGCCATTACACCAAAAGAACCCACCCCTTGGAGCAGATAGAGTAGATGGCACAGGTCTGGAGATGTTGCATGTGTAGGAGCTGAATGAGCAATGAGGAAGGCATATTGGGACTTGGTGTAGATGGTTACCTGCTGCCCTTTAGATAGTTCGAGAGCCCGTGTAAGAGCAACAAGCTCTGCTTTTTGGAAAGTGGTGCCCAGAGGAAGGGGCTGGGCCTCAAGAACAGAGTCAGCAGAGACTATAGCATAGGCCACCCGCTGGTGGCCTTGCAGGGTGCAGACAGAACTACTATCCACGAACAGAGTGAGGTCTGGGAACTGAAGTGGCTGATTTGAGAGTCCATTCCTGGGCAGAGTCAGGGCCTCCACCATCTCTGGGCAAGAGTGGGTAGGCCCTGCATCAGAGGTGGGGAGAGGGAGTAGGGACGCTGGGTTAAGGGTGGTGAAGGCTTTAGAGTTACCCCGGGTTGTCTAGAAACAACAAATGGAACTTCTGTATCCTGCAGGGGCCTAGGAGAGAGAGCACCCGATGTTTCAACAGTTTGTGGACTCGGGTGTGTTAGGACCCCCACAGCTATTCCATGGTGCTCATCATTTACTGGGGGTGTCAGCTGCCGTATAGCGTGGAGGCGGTCCATTGTCAGGGCCTTAGTGGTGGGAGTAAGGCGGACGCCAAGGTAGACGACTTTGGTTCTGTGAGCTGGGCTTTCTGGGGGGAAACCCGGTATCCCCTAGAGGCCAGGAAATTGAGAAGGGCGGTTGTGTGTGTTTGGGACAGCTCCTCAGATGGGCTGCAAAGTAAGAGATTATCCATGTACTGGATGAGGTGACTAGGTTGGAGAGGGCTATCGGCTAGGTCAGCTGCAAAAGCCTGGCCAAAGAGGTGAGGGCTGTCCCAGAAGCCCTGTGGCAAGACCGTCTACGTAAGTTGTGCCTGTTCCATGTCCGGGTCCTCCCAGGTGAAAGCAAAAAGGGGGTAAGAGTCTGGGTGTAGGGGGATAGTAAAGAAAGCGTCCTTGAGGTTAACGACAGTGAAATGTGTTGTCTGAGGGGGTATCCGAGATAAAAGAGTGTAGGGATTAGGAACCACTGGGTGGAGAGGGACCACCGCCT